TGGGCAAGCGCGTATGCCGAACTTGACGTGTGAAGCTCCTACGGAACTGGATTGCGGTATAGAAGGTGTCCGCAGTCTACTTGCCAGTCTTGACGGCACGAAACCTGCCGGACTCGATGGACTTCACCCGCTAATTTTAAAGTCCTTATTGGCCATCATCTCGCCTGCCGTGATGGATCTGTTTAACTGATCGCTGTCCGAAGGTGTGTTGCCGAGCGATTGGAAATGCTGGGTAGGGAAGCCGATTTCCCAGAAGGCGGTGATCCATGCCATGTGGACAATTACCGGCCGATGTGTCTCACCTCTGTTTTGGTGAGGATGCTCAGGAAGATTGTGGTAAAGGGTCTTCTCCGATTGCTGGAGTCGGAGGATCTCCTAACGCTGGCACAGCACGGCTTCATGAACGGCTGCTCGTGCATCACAAACCTGCTGTTGATGTGGCAGGAATGGTTGTAAGCATTGAATCGGGGGCAGTCACTGGATGTTGTCTACACTGGTTTCAGTAAAGTCTTCGGTAAAGTGAACCATGATGTCCTGCGCCACAAGCTGAGGATGTGTGGTGTTAATGGCGCACTGCACCAGGGGAACAGTGACTTCCTTATTGGGTTAAGATGGTGGGTGCAGTTGGATGACCACGTACTGGCGCCCCTTCCCTATTGGTGTACCCCAAGATACAGTACTGGGGCTCATTTTATTCCTGATGTACATAAGCAAAGTGCCTCAACTTCTTCGGTCGCCTTGACACTGTTTGCAGACAACTTGAAAATTTGGAGGGTTATTGATACTTCAGACGACTGTGACGTCCTTCTACAGGACCTCGACCGCCTATCCCGGTGGTCTGCAGAAATTGACCTACCGGTCAACCCGTTAAGGATCTAGGCGTACTCTCACGTTGTGATGTGAAGTCTGTCGACAGCACGAACAGACTGTACGCAAACGGACTACGCCTACTTTGAGCACTTAGGCGCAGCTTCTGCACTTGGTCTGAAGAGGTTGCCACTCGTCTGTTCTCTTCCATGATAAGACCGATACTTGAGTACGGCCCACTCGCCTATTGTCTGATCACAACAATTGAGGTGCAGAGACTGGAACGGGTTCACCATGTAGCTACCCGGTTCATCCCCAGTTTACGGGGTATGTCGTACGAGGACTGATGTAGGAGTGCAGGACTTTATATCCTGTTATATCGTCGGCTTCAAGTTGATTTCATTATGCCACACCGGATACTTCACCTTGACCACTTCCCTATGTTGAGGCCGCTGCTGCATGTTCTCACACCGAGCAGCACACGCGGACCGGTACAAACTAGTGGTACCGGATTTAAATCGCATCGCTCACCCTCTATGCGTCGAGTGCTTAAATGTTGGAACAAGTTGCCGGAAACGTTAGTCGAGGCGAAATCGGTGTCGGAATTTAAAAGGTTCCTTGACGCCCACTTTGCGGGCGTGGTATAGGGAGCGTATCGCACCCGGATAAGATGTAGTGCAGCTGCAATACGCTTCCACCGCGCAGAAATCAGCGAGGTGATTCCGCGCATGTGTCCGATCCACGTACGATGGAGCAACACGGATTTATCTTCGCCCTCTCTATTCTCAGTATACAGTGTACTCTACGACAGGTGTTAAGACAGCATCACATGTACCGCAGACAATAGCTGTATTCCTCGATTTAAGGAGTGCCTTCGACGCAGTCTATCGCTGTGTCCTCTCCGACATCTTTACTTGGGAATGTTTTCACATGGTATATGTGAACATCTTTCGCTCTCCACAGTTGAACACCGCAGTTCATATCAGGATTTACAGGGACTTGTCGAATGTCTTTCCGACAACAAGTGGCGTGCGCTGGGTTGTCACATTTCCTCATTTTATTCGACTTAGTCGTAGACTCCATCATTAGGTGTTTCCTTGCCATATCTCATGATGAAACCCTTGATTTGCCGCCTGGTGGAAAATTAGTCCATCCCGATTTCGGGACCGACCTCGTCTTGGTGGTTGACAACCTTATGTTGGCTCAGTCAACAGCCAATGGCTAATCTTCACGTCCTTTTTGGCTTGCGCTTTGCACCTTCAGAGTGTAAGAAGTTGCTGGACCACAAGCCATTTGATGACTCTTGAGGACCAGTAACTAAAGATGATTGAATACTTTAACTATACTTTCCTCAGACTGACGGCGATGGAGGCGTGACTAGCACTACCGCCAGTGGGGGGGGTTTCGTTGGACTAAGAGGTCGTATATACAACGTCACGTTGGCGACCGTCTTCTATGCGATGGGGGCTGTCACTTCAGTTCCTTGAAACCATAAATAAGTTACAGTGGTCTAACACCTTTGGGGTCCAAAAGACGGTGAACACGTTTGGCTGGATACACTTGCTGACATGGCAAGGAGCCGACCTCAGTGGCGTTTGTGCTGTGAGTTTCTTTGTCCTTCCCATCCCTTTTAGCCTCCCCCTCCATCTACGATCTCAATTCCTAGGGTAAAACATGACACTTTTTTCTTTTTGCCTAGTAGCTGGCTGGAAGCTTACCGGAACGATGCCTATCCGTTGCTGGTAGCTCAGCTGGCATGCAACTGTAGTATCTATTTTTCCTTTATGTATTGTATTATATGTATGTATGTATGGGTTTCTTTCATGTATTGCGGCACAATAGCGGAGGTGTTTTCCCACCTCTAGCTGATGTGTATAATGATGAATGATATAATGATGATGGTCTAACACCTGCTAGGTATAATCGCTCATCGCCTGCCGAGGAGGACTTTGTTTTGTTTGCCGGATGTCGGAAAACGCTAGCCTCGAGGTAGCGAAAGTTAACCTTGCATTGGTGACTGAAGTCACTGACAACTGAACTGGAGTCTGCGCGACTCACTCAGTGCTTGGGCCAACACTTTACAGGACATGGCTCGCAGTCCACACCAGTGGCGTTTCCGCTGTCATCTAATTAGCCTGATTGTTTGAAACCTGTCTGATACTGATTTCTCTGTGAAATAAGGCTTATTGTAGTGTGGGGTAGTGAAAGTCACTAAGGTGCTGTCTGACCAATTCCGCATGATGGCCAGCTGTTTTTGATCGTGTACTGTTGGCAAGATGTAGTCTACTAGGTTTTGAGTGTTTCCTTTGATCAGCTGGACCACGTTAGGTTCCCATTCTCCTCCCTGCTTGATTCTTATACCCTAAATCATCATGGCTATATGACGGCAAAACATCAGCTCAAATTGCCGAAGACTGTGACACCAACTTCTCTTATGGGTTCAGACGATTCAGATAGCAACTATGACCTGGTTGAGTCGCACTGCCAACCGCCTACGTTACTCTTCACTCTATCCTCTATGCTTGCTTCCCACTTCTTTCACCATAGTGCTGCCCATTTTTGTTATCCCTACTCGGCCCCCTTAGTGGGCTTCGTTCACGTCGTTATATCACGCTTTATTATGTGGATTGCCCTCGCCTTCTGTGCTTCCTCTCTTCTACCTCTGTTTACGCACTGCTACTTGCCATCATATCGATGGTTCCAGCCTGCTGCGGTCTCTTTGAAACCTGTTTCCTGTCAGATTGATCTTTCGTACTCCAGTCCGGATAATCGAAGTCCCGGATATCCTTCCTCAGGCCCAGCAACCCTGCTCTTTTGGACTTGTTTTGTTAGCGGTATATGGAATGATTCCCTTTGTTGTGTGCTTGGTTAGCTTAGTTTTTGATCGTTTCTTGGGCTCCGAGTACAGTTGACCTCCATGGAATCCCTAACCCGCGCACCTCCATGGTTGACAGGTCTTGCATTATCTGGACTTCCTCTGGTGCACGGTCGAAACCGGTGTAAAATCTGCAGATTTACCAAGTGTCCTAGACTGGTTGAAGTGCGTAGTCCATAGCTTATGACGATGTGGTTAGTTTTAGTCTTGATTGGTCTGTTGCTCGATGTGTGACAAGTGACTCAATGTGATTGATTTCTCTGGATTGCGCCATTGCGCTCATACACATAGATTGTAGTCTGCGTTCTGTTCTAATATACCATCGCCTGGCCAAAGCAACTTGCACTTGTCTATGGACGGTCCTCGAGATGTTGCGTGCAGCCATCGAAATACGTTGCTTTGGATCCATATAGGTTATTACCCTCACCTGCATGTTGCACACGGATGCTCAAGTTTTCTGGTTGATGCGCAGAATCCATGTAGTTTGTGGCACCTTTTTGACACCTTCGATCGCACACCGCCTACTCGTGTCTGGCTTAAGTGATGTGCATCGCTTTAGGATTGCTTGCCCTTCAACCTGGATTGCGGCCGTCTATTGTTACTGCTAATTAAGACCTTAACGGTGCGTAGCACTTGTAAACAATTGGCAGTGCACAACTAACGCTCGAATTTGTCCCAGGCACATTAGGAGGAATGCATTCGAAACAACTCATATGTTTAGTTTAAGATAATAGCGGGCACACCACCGCTATCTCTATTGGTTAATTTGCACCGCTCAAGGTATTTCGCTTGAGAGTAACCATTCTCCCAGTACATGTGACCCTCTATATGTTTCAGGATGTACCGAAGACCTCGTGAACGATAAACACATTCCAGATAGAGCCCACTTACCATCTATAGTTTCCCCTTTTCTATTTCCTCAACTGGTGACTGGTCTAGCTCTTTGGGAAGCATAATCCAAGCAAAACACCACGATATTTATATGGTATACTTATCACAAAGCTCTCCAGCTAGCGTGATCCACCATTATCGTTTCTTCGTGGGACATCTCAGCTTGGCAATACAACTGGCTCCACGTCTATGCAAAATGATTCTCATCGGTGCGTGCGGACGGTTATCGCGCGAGCGGTCATTCGGTCCTGAGTTGTGAATGTGCCAACCTCTAGGGTTTCTTAGCTATCACCAAACTAATGCGTTAGTGCCCCCCTCCACCTACTTGTGCGCTTTGTTTAGTTTGTTGTGTGCTAACTCACCTACATTTCGCTCACATATTTAACCTATTTTCACCCACCACTTCATTTAACGTTTACCATTGCAGGTTTGGATCAAAATGCAGTATACAGTCTACTGAAGTGACGATTGCTCGGTCACGTGGTAAAATTCCTACGATCAACCGCACGACGAAGCCTTCCAAACCCGCTCCCCGAACAGCACAGCCGCCTCATACCCAACCAGTGCCCGAAGCGCCCAAGGTGGATCCCGGTCCACCCGATTCCATTCAGAGTCCCTTGAAAAGAGGACAGAAGTCAAAAGTAAAAAAGATCAAGAAGAAGTATAGTGAACAAGACGAAGACGAGCGTCAAATGCGAATGAGGCTATTGCAAGTGAGGAATCGGTTCTTTCGCGTTCCTATAATGCATTCGTCCCATACATTTCTCTACATGACTTTACCTCTATGTGACGGTTCGTAGTTAATGAAGAACATCTTTCCGTTAGCTCCTTTAGCGCGCGAACTTTGATTTCACACTAATCTATCTGAAGCGGTTTCATTTATACTCATAACTCGAGCCTTTTATTATTTTGCCAATTTCCAATATTCATATGTTTGTTTATCATGTCACTAAATCGGTGGATTACGATCGTTGATCTTAATTCCTCTACTGGTGATGTTCAGCAACAATGAAATTGTCGCGCAGTTCAGATGTCATCGCTCTTCAACTCACTGCACCACTATGGAAATACGAATTGACAATGGTGGGAAAACGAAGTAGAATGCAAATGGAGTATAAGGAAAAAGGAGTTTCTGAAAGTGAGAAAAACTGATCACATGGAATATTAACAGCTCAATGCAATAAACCGAATTTAGGAGCAACCTAGACTCCACGGTGGCTCCACGTCGGATAAGGTCTCCAATCACCGCTGCGTTGTCCATCGTGAGACACCCCTCGACAAAGACGCCAGCCTGACCAGGCCTTTCTTCGATTGCTTCCTTTTATACCACAGCATCAGTCGTCCACATCGCATCACGATTCATTTATTCTATTGTGTAGTAGAAAGAAGGGGATACAAAAAAGTAAAAATTATGTTTTGTTTTATATTAGGCTTTGAGAATGAGATCATGCATGGAGGGCATAAGCCAAATAAAATGGGGCGACATGATGTGAAACAATACGACGCCATTGAAGTTGGCTTTTCACCATGTCAACGCGTTCACCCAGCCCAACGTTCTTATCTTCCTTGGGACCTCAATCCGGCAGTCAGAAGGCACCAACTGAGGCCACTTTCGAGGTGATGACCTTCATTCATCTTGACCAAGCCGTAGATTGGCCTCCCTCATCTTCTTCCATCCACACACCCCCGGTCGTGCAAACAACACACGTTACGTGAGTCAGTGCACTTTCATACCCAGTCGTCGGAGCCCGGTGCATAAAATGATGAAACTGAGCAGTCCACTTGCTCATCCTGTATCATAAACAAGACAATGGACAGGCTCATTGCTTCCGTGATGTTCCAACGAGGCATGAGCTCGACTGCATCGAAGGGAATTCCAATTGCTTGTGTTGCGCTACTCTTGGGTCCATCCACTCTACCCCTGATGTGAACTCGACTGTGCTAACCCGGTGAACTTGCGAATTGGGACTGTGAATATGTTTGGGATCAACTTGCGTCAAATTTCCTCATGTACTTACTCGTGGAACTTTTACTTCCTTAGCACAGTACCCAGTACTTTTTAACGCGATTCCAGATGGCACTGCAGTCATCGCTCTCATTTTAGCGCAATGGAACTGGTTCACCACACATTGGCACGTCTAACCGTAGCACTTCTTTCACTTCCTTATCACTTTGGTGCTTTTACCCGCTAGCAGTTGGACTCAAGCACCATTCACGCTCCACCACAGCTTACTTAGATGCAATGTGGCTCTCAAATAAATAAGCGTTTATTCTTAACATTATCAGGCACACATGTTTCGGCATGTTCATGAAGGTACACTCATGTACAGAACATCAATCAAAGGTTGTTCAGAACGATTCAAAAACTGATCTGTCATTGTCATTGGGAAGAACATGAGAGATCCATGACAGAAATGCAGTGAAATGTTTTTCCTCAATAGGACATGATTCACTTTCTGATTTGCTAGCACACTTATGCATCTCGTTAAATCCAGTAGCGTCACACTGTTGGACATGATGGACCACGCTACTTTCGCTTAGCACGAATGAAATCGACCATTTTATTAAATGACTAACTATTCTAGTGCAATGTGACCGACTTGGCCTCGCACCATTCACACTCCTCTTTCGCCAAGCCTACGTGATCGAGACTTCTTCGATTGCCGTTACCAACAACCACATTTTCCAATCTTGTCCTCCTCCGTTGGTGGTCGGGCTTTGCTTGTAAACCGTTTTACTTTTCGCTGGCGGTGTACGCATTCGAATTCAGGCCATCTCCACTGTTTTGTGTTCGTAGTTATTGTCGGAATCCGAGAGTTGCTTGTTATATGTCAACCGAGGTGTATCACGGTGACACCTTTCTGTTAACTCGGTTTCCGCTCATGAAACCATGTGTCCCCACAACATCTACTTCAGCACTAGGGTAGCATCTGCTTGTTGCGACACAAACCTCGCACACTTCTTTAATCGTTGTTGTTCGAGTCTTTGTTCTCTCTTTAAACAACCTACTTTTTAGGTACTTTCCAGATTGACCCCCGCCCCCAAACAGTAATTAACCGATGTGACAAGCATTTCTCGCAACGACCCGTTCGTTGACGTTCCAATAGCCCAGGGTTCGAATGCCTGCCACATTTACCTGATAAAATCAGCCGAGTCTGAAACTGGCCGTGTATTGTAATGTTTTCGGGTGGGCATCACTCAATGTTCCTTCGCTTCGGTTAGGATCCCAGGTCCACTTCACTGCGGATCGCGGTCTATGTTGAGACTGCGCGTCGCGACACATATGTATATATACAACACGGCCAATAGTACAATTTTCATAGTGCCACAACGTATGGAAAATACAATAAACAAACGGAGAGGAAAAAGCGGTGTTCATGGGAATAGTCACAACAAGTCCGCCATTGTGTACCCTTTCGTGCCATATCCGAGAGTGTTTCCAGCCATGCGTGTTCCGCATCCTTCACACTCCAGCCAGATAGCCGAGTGCTCCCGACCACGGCTAACTTTGATGTTAGCTCCTTCATCCTCCTGGCCCAGCTCATACGCTGACCATCTTGCTTTCGCCTCCAGCCGACTTCTGCGCGCGCGAAGAGGGCACGGCGAGGTAAGCGATGAGTAGGCATGCGAAGAACATGCCCAAACCACTAAAGTCTGCAGGGAAATAATACTGCTCAGTGGCCGGCAAAGTCTGTCTGATCTGAAAATACCCCGTCGAACACCTTCACTACTAGTGTGATGTTGCCATCGTACACCAACAATGCTCCGAAGGCAGATTCACGAGTGTTTCAAAAGCAATCCTCCAGTTACATTTATTTCTGTTCCTTAGGATGGCACCGGCAAAAGTCCACATTCTATTAACTTTCACATCATTCGCACTCCAACACTCGATTAACAACCTTGTCCTGCCTTCCGCTCCAACTTGTCGACTACAGTATTATTCTCTTGGCTCCCCAATAAGCAGCTTGCCACCTAGCTTCATGCTTGTGTGTTGCGACTTATGCACCGTCCACGTCATCAAACAACTAGACACTCAACCACTATGGGTCGGCGCCATCTGTTACGATGATTAAAATCCGCTACGAAAACCAGAGGGCTATGCTCGTCCATGGATTTGTTCGTTTCGCCAGAGGGACCCTTCTGGTGTTACCATAGACAAACCTATAGCCCAACCTCCTTGTCTTGTACATATGGTGTTGTTCGCTGGCTTTCCTGTATCCCACGCTTATAGTCTCCTTATGGCTCAGTTATTATCCGAAATGGTTGCGTTCTATGCGGTTCAGCTTGTCTCCAAAATTTGCTTTCTCTTTACCTTTCAGGGAGAAAATGCTAAACTTAGTCGGTACCATAGTCGTGTGGCGCCCCAGTTGACTGTAGGGTCCACCAAACCGGCAGCTCCGGAAGAAAAACCTGTTGACTCCGACGTCACTAAGCATCATGCTGCCTTAGACGAACACTTTGTTTCCGAGGGAACAGTCTCGGATTCCCCGGTAACCGACGTCTGTGATAAGCTTGTCCCACTGCCTACAAATCCCTTGTCGTCACCGCACGATATCGATGAGGATGACGATGTGAAACCGCTCCCCGAGAATGATTGGTTACGCGTGATGGACACATTCACGGGACAACCTCTTGAGGACGACGTATTGCTGTATGCAATGCCTGTTTGCGCACCTTATTCTGCGCTGGCTAATTACAAATTCAAGGCCAAATTAACCCCCGGAACGCTGAAGCGAGGGAAAGGTTGGTTCACTGCATATCGTACTTTGCGTGCGGTAATCCCTGCTGTTTCTTTGTTACCTTGTATGGTGCATGTGTTTCCTCTGCTAATAGCTATTCGGTGCATCGTCGCACTCCGTAACAGTTCACTCACTCGGTTTGTTCACAACTCCACTCTTGCAACTTCCAGCTCCATCCTGCACGTCCCACTTGTCACAATTCGTGTGCTCCACTTCTCTCCACACTCGAACTCGCGATGGCTTTCAACAGTTTGGTTTCGGTGTTTGTTCACTACCACGATACGACTGCACTTTGGTGTGACGCTACGTTTCGTGTTCCTCCCTGACTCATTGGATGCACTGAATGCTTTCACAGCAGCAACTCACAATAGATTGGTCAATACTTGGAGGCCAAACAACTGTGCTCTCATTATCCTTCTCATATGTGGCTAGGGGATAAGTCGTGTTGTGTTTCAGCTATCTGGATTTCAACTCGTAATCCCGTGGTTCGAATCCTCTCTTTTGCCTGAGTTTGTGTGTTAGAGTAGTATCCGGAACTGCGCACAGTCGAATGTGCTCGGGAAAAAGCTTAACTCTTGCCCTGTGGCCTTCTCCTATCCACCCCCAGCTGCTGGTTGATATGATACAAATCCGATTAACCTCACCTACGGTTAAACCTGATTGCTGATGTATCATCTGGCTCTAAACTTTCCACAGGTAGTCCTGAATGGTCTCAAGCAAATCCCCATGAACCTGTATGTTTCCACTCGCGAACCGGGCTGGCTCCCTGTTATCTTGCAAATCTTTTTATGGGCGGAGACTAAATTTTAGTCCTTTCAAACAGCCCCTTTCTCTCCCATTCAGAGTTAACAATTAGGGCATATCATTTACTCGATGACTGTCCATTGTTGACTGGACCGCCTCCCTATTGACAAGCATCAAGACTAGGTCATCGGTATAGTCTGGATCAACTACTTTTCCCTTAGGCAAGACCTCAATATCCTCCACCATCAGACTCCAAAATGGAATACTCTATGATGGAATCTACCATGAAATTGAATAGGAATGAGAACCCTGACAATAATCTAGATGTACACCACCTGTTATGAGGTAGACGTTCCATAGTTCGTCGTAAACCCTGACGCGACCTGAGGTTTTTGGGTCCGTAGCACTTAAAATGTAAACATAACTCATGGGAACAGCATCCCTGAGTAGATCTAATAGATTGGAGTGGCCGACCGTGTCACATATTCTGTTAAAACCGGCGAACGTGACTGTGATTGACTTGTGGTGCAACTGGCACTGGTGTAACACCTTACGTAAGGTAAACATGCGGTCAGTGCAGCTCCCTCGTTGTCGGAAGCCTTCATTCTCTCACACGGGACTTCTGTTGCACAATAGGGCGGCGGACTAGGTTGGACACTAGCAACTCTGTCACTACCGGGGTCAAGGTGTCAACCCTGTGTCTGGCGCAAGTTTTTCGATTGCCACTG